CTGGGTTACCTCACTCAAGATGGTTTCTTCTAGCTCCATCCATTTGCCTGTGATTTTCAATATTCCATTTTTCCCCCAATGAGTAGTCACATGGTCTTATCTTACTAGAGAAGGGTCTGGACCTGCTACTCCTTTGTGGTCTACATGGAAACTCTTTTTTGGTGGGCTCCCTCTCCCTACCTTTCCCAGAATTCTCCTCATTTCCTAGACCTACCTATCTTCCTGCATCATTGGCCAAACAGTGTTTTATTCATCAACCAATAAGAGAAACATACACAGAAGGACATCCCCATTGCAATAGTCCCCTAATTTTTGTTTTTTTTTCTGTTCCATATCAGGTGGCTCTTCTGACAGGAGAAAGAGATTTTGTATTTTATTTTAACAAGAATGCTTGGGTTTAGAGAAGGAGGGAGCCACACTTCAACTCCAAAACCAGCTTTAATTGTTAATTGGACTAGGACTACAAAAAGACCATTTTCATCATATGTCTATAGGGAAAAACAGAAACAAACATTTGGGAAGATTTATGAAATTTTATCCTGTTGGAGATGTGATATATTAATAGGCCAAATTACTCCTTTCCTTGAAACAATATTTCTGGATTATTTATTCCTTTTCTTCAGATGTCTCAGTTGTCCAGTCATCTCCAGATTCTTTAGCTGGATACCTTTAGTCTCCTGAAAAGACAAAAATAAAACCCTTCCCCAACCCTAAATCTTTGGGGAGGTTCTCCTTTGGCAAGTTATATCTGATCAAATGAAAAGCATTCATTAGTTTTATAGGATAGTTTGGATTAAACGGCCATGCTGCTTGATGAACTATCATCTCTTCTAATTAAGAGGTGTCTTGTTCAAATCGAATCTCTATTAATTTTGATGGTATCCATAGATTTTCTTCACCTGTGGAAACAAAAGCAAAACTTCTTCCCCAACGTAATGCATGTCCCGGTTTCCTTTCGTTTGTCAACACATCTTTGAATTATACTGGGTGATTTTATTCTGTAGTTCTTTCCATTAGCTAGTGTCTTTCTGCAGCTGTTGTTCCTTTTTTCATTAGCATTCAGAAAATTCAAAGTTAATAAAGCACTATGCAATCTGTTTCTCAGGGTCTTTATCATCTCTTTCTGTTAATTTAGCATATTCTTTAGAGTTGGATTTGATCTTTCTATAACTGCTTGCCCTGTAGGATTGTGTGGTATGCCTGTAATATGCTTTATACTATAATGAGCAAAAACTGTTTTTCTTAGAGATATATGCTGGAGCATTATCTTTCTTTATTTTTGTAGGTATACCCATGATGGCCATAACTTCTAGCAGTTACCAAATCAGCCTTTTCCAAACTCAAAGAAGTGTCCCAAAATTAAACACATCCATCTGGCCAGGCATTGGTGGTGCACGTCTTTAATCCCAGCACTCAGGAGGCAGAGGCAGGGGGATCTCTGTGAGTTCGAAACCAGCCTGGTCTACAAGAGCTAGTTCCAGGACAGCCTCCAAAGCCACAGTGAAACCCTGTCTGGAAAAACGAAAAACAAAACCAACAACAACAAAAATCCCATCCATCTGCCATATTCATTGCTTTGAGTACCCTTTTGGTTACTTCCTGTAGGTCATGGAGTTTGGTTGTATAAAGAACAAGTAGAACATTTCCTTATAATTTCCTTGCCTTGTTGCCAAGTGATGGAAAAGTCTTTTTTCAAACCTTTGCTATTGACATGGGGTTTTTAATGAAATTCTGAGGCCTTTAGCACATTTCCTATCAATAGCTGATCAATTTGATCATCACCTTGTACTAGAGGGCCTGACTCCCATGGGATTGGATGTCACACACACACACACACACACACACACACACACACACACACACACACACACACACACACAATAGTTAATAGAATTTTCTCTTTGCATTTTTCCAGGAGGAATTTATAATCCCCAACGAGGCAAAATTTTCTTTACTTCTTCAAACATTCTTTCTAAATTATCTACATTTGAATAAGATAGTAAAATGTCATCCATGTAATGGAATATTATAGATTGAAGAAATTACTTATGTGTTATTTCTAAAGGCTGCCGCATAAAATATTGTTACAGGGTGGGGCTATTTAACATTTCCTGTGGGAGAATCTTCCACTGATATCTCTTAGTGGACTGAGAATTATTGTAAATATGCAGTGTGAAGGCAAATTTTTCTCTGTCCTTTTCTTGTAATGGTATACTAAAGAAACAATCTTTTAAATCAATAACTATGAGAGGCCATCCTTAGGCAATAGAGAAGGTAAAGGAATTCCAGACTATAGAGAGTCTATTGGTTGTATCACCCTATTAACAGCTCTTCCAATCCCTAAAAGTTGAACATTTACCTCCTGAAGAGGCCAATTTGGATGACAAGATATTTTTGATATAATTGTTATGCCCACACTTGTGTCTAGCAGACCTTCAATGAAACACATCATTTATTCATACTTTTTTTGGTTTTTTGAGGCAGGGTTTCTCTGTGGCTTTGGAGGCTGTCCTGGAACTAGCTCTTGTAGACCAGGCTGGTCTTGAACTCACAGAGATCTGCTTGTGTCTGCCTCCCAAGTGCTGGGACTAAAGGCATGCACCACCACCACCACCCGGCTTTTAATTTTGGTCTCTGCTCATAGAAGTTTGCCAGTATACTCTGTGATTTTTTTCTTGGACTCCTTTTTTCTCTGTTCTGTAGCTTTTTCTATCATCCAGAGCGGTATGATTTCTTACAATAGGTATTAGGAGCTTTAATTGCTCTGGGAAGGAGTTTCCACAGTGACAGGAAAAGACTGAGATGAACTTGGTATATGTAACACAAGTTCTAATAGGCCTTAATAATAAAAGCCTGGAGTCAGATAAAGGGGAAAATGCTGACAGATCAGAGTGAAGGCAAGCCAAAGCCACCTTTACCTCTTAGCTTTCCAGCAGAAAAGAGACTGAGTTCCTGTTTCCTCCTGCCTATATTCCTCTCTCTGCCCAGCCATCTCACTTCCTGTCTGCCTGTATAGAGCTTTTATGGTTAGCTAGAGTCAAGCTCTACGCTTTGATCTTCAGACAAGCTTTATTTGTACAAACAAGATATCACCACATAATCTACAAATTAACCACTAGGCTGAGTATAGCCAAGTTTCAGGATATATGTTTTATGGGGAGTTGATGTCAACTCACAAATGCCAGTTGTCAGGCACTTTTCCTCGATAGGTGGAGAAGCTATAAAATCTAAGCTCTGTTTCTGGGTTATTTGTTACATAAACGAAGTTTTTTGGGGGGAGAATATCAGCAGTGCTAAGGATTTTGGAAACCTATCTGTCGGAGTAGAGACTCATTTTCAGTAGTGCAATTCACTAGGTTATATCAACAACTTTCAAAGAAATCTTACTGATAGCTCATAAACTAACCAAAATAACTATTTTTCAAACTTTTTTGTTTTTCAAGACAGGGTTACTTTCTGTAGCTCTGGTTGTCCTGGAATTTTCTCTGTAGACCAGGCTGGCCTAGAACTCAGAGATCTGCCTGCCTCCCGAATGCTGGCATTAAAGGTGTGTGCCACCACCACTGAGGTAAATGAAATGATTTTTTTTTGGTTTTTACGAGACAGGGTTTCTCTGTATTGCTTTGGAGGCTGTCAGTCCAGCCCGGCCTCAAACTCACAGAGATCCGCCTGCCTCTGCCTCCCGAGTGCTGGGAATAAAGGTGTGCACCACCCAGCGAATGAATAGATTTTTAAGTGTTCAATGATTATATTAAATTGCATCACATATGTGCCTAGTCTACAATGCTTAAAAATTGGTTTTTTATGCATAAGCCAAGGTTGATTGTGAATGCCTAAGATCCCAGTACTGTGGAGGTAGAGACAAATAAGCATCTGGGAAGTTTGAGGCCAACCTAAACTATGAGACCCTGTCTCAAAAAAGAAAACAAATTGACTGGAAAGAGACAAAATTCACTTTAGGTAAAAAAAAAAATACTTACACACCTTTAATCCCAGAACTCAGGAGACAAACAGGAGAGAGACAAAGGGAGACAGATCTCTATTAGTTCAAGGCCACCCTTGATCCAGTCTAAAAGAGAAACAGCTCACACAAAGGTGATCCCAGCACTTGGAGTGACACATCTTTAACCCCAGCACTAAGGAGGTGGAGACAGTAGTGATATGGCTGGGTGCAGAGAGGAATATAAGGCAGGAGAAGACAGGAACCCTAGGGATTGCAGTCTGAGGCTTGGTGGAGTGAGGATTCAGGATCTACCATTTTGGTCTGAGGTAGAGGTAAGAGCTAGTTGCTGGCTGCTTTGCTTTTCTGGTCTTCAGCTTGAACCCCAATATTTGTCTCTGGGTTTTTATTATTAATATTAAACTTAAAAATTATACTTATTTAGTGTATGTGTGTGCTCTACAGAGCAAGTCTCAGGACTGCCAGGGCTACATAATGACATCCTGTATATATTTTGAGTATATTCATCCCATATTGTCCTTTCTTATCCTGCTTATAACCCCTTCTTCCTAACAATTACATCTCCAATTTCATGTCTTTCCTTGGTGCCTCACTGAGTTTAATTAGGGTTGCTCGCATGGTCAAGGGTATAAGGTTATTTACAGAATTATGAGCAATTTAACAGTGGTTACACTATTGAAGAAAAACAACTCCCTCTCCCCAGCAGCCATAAACTGCCAATATCTCCTCAGAAGAGGGGACTCATGATATTGCTACACATTATTATATTGATAAAATTCTAATACCAAAAGTTTCCCAAAGTGAAGGCAGTAGTGAGCCCTGCATGACAGGGTGCATATGTTTTTAATTTTCATCTATTTCTGTAATTGTCTTCCTCTACTTTCTACTAATATAGTTTTCCAGTGCTCGGGATTGAATCAAGGGCCTTACAATATTAGATGAGTACTCTTATTTTATATTAACAAATACCTGAATTCCAGAACCTCTCCTCCAACACAAGAAAAAGTCAAAGAAAATCTTGAGGCTGAAAATACTCAAATACAGATTAGAAGCACAGCTTTATTTTCTTCAGCAACAAACATTTAAACACCAGATTAAACAAGTGGCCCCTAAGTGCCTGAGGACCAAGCAGGCAAAAAATATTAGGCCCCACATTTAAGTAGCAGGTACTATTTCTAGAATCTTTTCCAGAAAATTGTACTGCTTAGGAGAGTATGGACAAAAGGTCAGACCTGAGTCCTTTTTCCCAGCCAGGCTTAACGAGAAACTGGGGGCCCAAATCGCCGTATGGTGTTCACCACTAGGGAAAGCTGGTCAAGAAAGTTCATGATGGAAATTCGGAGGAGTCGAGAGTCTTCTGAGATCCAGTGTCTAAGAGTGAGGAAAAAGAATGTTAAGTTCAAAATGGTAATTCTTATCCTTCTTTCCTTATTTATTTTGGAAAGAGAAAACTAACGATGTAGCCCTGGCTGGCCTGGAATTCACAGAAATCTGTCTGCCTCTGCCTCCTGGCTCCTACCCTTTGTGGATCTCCCCTCAGGCACCCACTGTACCATATTCTGCAGATAAAGACTGATCCAGTGCACCAAGAGTCTCTTTAGAAGTCAACCTAGTGTGGTGTCTCTAAGGAAGTGCAGTCTTGGGTAGAGAATAGTCCAGCCACCTACCCAGCATGCCAGACTCTTTCAGCACTTACACCTCCAGTATGCAGCCGTTCACTTTAAGCTCTTTCCCCAACAGTCCTCGGTGCGGTTCGGCATCAGGAGCTAGGGACCCACAGGCTATTTCTGCCTCCAAAGAGGTTGGGAAAGGCACTGTAAGGGCGCTGGTGGAGATTCAGGAAAGGCACCATGTTGAATCAATTTTGCCTACTTGGCCCTCTAAAACAATCTCATCTGGTCTAAGCTCCCCAGACTACATCTTGCACATTGTTTGGGCAATTCCTGCCCATTTCCCTCCACCCTTCAGTCCCGGTCCCCCTCCCCCGTTATTATCTCATGCCCAGACCTTCCGTGGTTAAAAGAATCAATCTGAGGATCCCCCTGCTCCCCTCCGCCTGACGGCTCCTCCCCACCCCCAACCCCCGCCTCCAGAGGACCCCTTTCCCCTCCTGAAGCATCCATAAGGTGGCCCAGTTGTTCCTGTCCGGTAGGATACAATCTATGATGTCGGATTCCCGGCCTTTGGGTTAAAGGAATGGTGCTTTTGCTCGAACCGGAGACTTCCGGTGCTCGTGCAGCAGGGTGAGCTCCACTGGGAACAAGTGACACTATGCCTGCATCACCGGGACAGCAGCAGCTGGTCGGAGAATCGGCGCCATCTGCAGTGTGACCTAAACTGTGTGCTGCCGGCATGTCTACCGCTGCTCCACCCTCCAACCCACCCTCCGCCATTACTACGGCCCGGAGCCCGCCTTATCCTCCGGAAGCTCCGCCCTCGCTCAGGCTGCCAATCCCACATGAACCTGCGCGAAAGGGCAGGCGACAAAGTTGCTAAATTGGGTCAGTCCCCACCTGGAGGCATCTGCCAGGATCTCTAAGAGATTTATCTGGTCTGCCTTAACCTCCAAAGTGCCATACCACGTCCAGGTTTCCCTTCAGTTTCTTAAAAGGTATCTAAGGAGCCGGACAGTGGTGGCTCACGTCTTTAGTCCCAGCACCCGGGAGGCAGTGGTAGGCTAATCTCTGTGAGTTCGAGGCCAGCCTCGTCTACAGAGCCACCCTGTCACAGAAAAAAAGAAACAAATGATCTAAGGTGATATTTACTCCAAAATAAAGTAAAACAAAGCAAAAGCCACAAAATACTATTAATAAAAAACTGGCCTGGTGTGGTGTTGCCTACTTGAAATCCCAGCATTTAGGATAGTGATTCTCAACTGGGGGGGGGGGGGGGGAACGACCAAATCCCAGCCCAGAAGCAGGGTCAGAGGAAGGTAGGAGCTTCAGGCCTGGAGCAGAGTCAAGGGAGCCAAGGGCATCAGAACTGGGAGCAGCATCAGTGCCCGGAAGCAGTGTCAGTGAGATGCCCAAGCTTCAGGCCCAGAGAAGCATCAAGGGACCCATGAACCTCAGAGCCAGGAGCAGTGTCAGAGGGAGACACTAGCCTCAGCCCAAGGAGTGAGGAACCATCACTGGGTGAAGCAATAACAGTGATTTCCAGCAGTAGTTTCCAGAAACTACAGCAAAAAGTTCCTCTGGGGGCTGGAGAGATGTCTCAGAGGTTAAGAGCACTAATTGATCTTCCAGAGGTTCTGAGTTCAATTCCCAGCAACCACATGGTGGCTCACAACCATCCATAATGAGATCTGGTGCCCTCTCCTGGCCTGCAGGCATACATGGAAGCAGGATGTTATATTCATAATAAATACATAAAATCTTTAAAGAAAAGTTCCTCTGGGAAAGAGCACCTGTGTGCCAGCCAGCATCCTCTGCTATTTCTCAGTGGGAGATAACCCACTCAGCCTCATCTACACCTCCAATGGGAGGAGCGTCCACCAGAGCTGTAGCCCCACCTGCACATCAAGGATGACCACCTGAGCATTGGACCCACTGCCACCAGGAGGAGCGTTCACCAGAAACTCTGCTCTACTTGTGCCTGAAGGAGTGATCAAGGGAGCCACAGACCCTAACTATACTAATTGGAGAAAGAGAGACCCCCTGAAGGACAAGCTCTACCTATAGTGATTAGAGGAAGAGATGCGTAGACAACAAGGTAGGAACACACTCAACAATATAAAGAGCAATAAGGCAAGACCTGAACATCCCAACACAGATGAAGTAGAAGAAAATGAGCTAAAAATAACTTTATCTTTAATCCCAGCACTCCGGAGGCAGAGGCAGGCGGATCTCTGTGAGTTTGAGGCCAGCCTGGTCTACAAAGTGAGTTCCAGGACAGCCTCCAAAGCTACAGAGAAACCCTGTCTTGAAAAACAAAAACAAGGGGCTGGAGAGATGGCTCAGTGGTTAAGAGTACTGACTGCTCTTCCAGAGGTCCTGAGTTCAATTCCCAGCAACCACATGGTGGCTCACAACCATCTGTAATGAGATCTGGTGCCCTCTCCTGGCGTGCAGACATATGTAGAGGCAGGATGTTGTATTCATAATAAATAAATAAAATCTTAAAAAGAAAAACAAAAAAAAAACCAAACTTTATGAGGATGATTGAGGCCTTTAAAGATGAAATGAAAAATTTTCTTTTTTTTGTGTTTTTTTTTTTTGTTTTTTAGTTTTTCGAGACAGGGTTTCTCTGTATTGTTTTGGAGGCTGTCCTGGAACTAGCTCTGTAGACCAGGCTGGTCTCGAACTCACAGAGATCTGCCTACCTCTGCCTCCCAAGTGCTGGGATTAAAGGCATGCGCCACCAACGCCCGGCGAAAAATTTTCTTAACGAAATGGAGGAAAATACCCAGGCATCTGTTTTTTCTGCAATGTGGATTTCAATACAGATTGGTAATGTTAATATATCTAAAACTTTTTATGCCCTCTTGTAAAATAAAGTTCATATAAGCTTCAGAGAATCAAAAAGTCATAAAGCTTGGATCCATTTCTCACAGGTTAAAAGGGCTCCAGTTTTGTACATTTTTCTTCTGTCCAGTGAGGGCCAGATATAGATTGGACAGAGATACCTTTGGCCTGATGAGAAGCCCTTTAGGTTTATACTTAGATGACAACCAAAATAAATCCAAATTCTTGAGCTTGTGACTGAACAGCAGGTAGTCACTGCTCTATCAGCTTATCAGAACTTTATTAAAGCTTAAGCTCTGAACTTTTATGTCATAGAAGGGGAAAACAGTTTAAAATCCTTTTTATATTTTAAATTATTTTTATATCCTTGAAACTTATATGTACTCACACCCTTAGGTTGTATTGGGGCATCTTGCCCCCTGGTCAGTGTCGTCATAATCTAGGTTCAGGAACCAGGGTGCCCCATAAACTTCTTTGGAGACATTGGGTCACTGTCAGGATCTGGGAGTCTCTATCTGATATTATAAGCTTTGAAATTGACATTTTAAATGCTATATTCTACAAATCTCGGAAGTATTAGAGGGTTGCCTAGGTAAATCTGAAAAGACAACTTTGTTTTCAGTCACATGTTTTGATCTCAAGTTTTGAAAACATATACAGGGGATTAAGTAAGATTTGTGCCTGTAATTAATTATATTAATATTTAAAATGACTACAATCAACAAAATTAGTCATTTATAAGGATGGCTATTAACTTGTATTTTTTTTTTTTGGTTTTAAGAGACTGGGTTTCTCTGTATTGTTTTGGAGGCTGTCAGTCCAGCCCAGCCTCAAACTCACAGAGATCTGCCTGCCTCTGCCTCCCAAGTGTTGGGATTAAAGGCGTGCAACACCACTGCCCGGTTTAACTTGTATTTTTTTAAACATTTATTTATTTATTACATATACAGTGTTATTGCTACATGTCAGAAGAGGGCACCAGATTGAATTGTAGATGGTTGTGAGCCACCATGTGGTTGCTGGGAATTGAACTCAGGACCTCTGGAAGAGCAGTCAGTGCTCTTAACCTCTGAGCCATCTCTCCAGCCCTTAACTTGTATTTTTTAAACATTTTATGATACAATTAGCAGCTTTTATAAGACTAGGACTTTACATTGTCAGGTTTAGCTTTCTTTTTTTTTTTTTTTTTGGTTTTTCGAGACAGGGTTTCTCTGTATTGTTTTGGAGGCTATCGGTCCAGCCCAGCCTCGAACTCACAGAGATCCGCCTGCCTCTGCCTCCCGAGTGCTGGGATTAAAGGCGTGCGCCACCACCGCCCGGCTCAGGTTTAGCTTTCTACAAGCTGAATTTTACATCCTGAATGGCACTTCCATCATGGAAGTTAGTTGTGCTAAGGTCTCAGGGCCTACTAAGGCCGGGGGCCCTGTTACATTACGAAAGTTAAATCAAGATCAGATAAGCAATTTCAACATACCTATAACCTTTAGTGAAATAGAAGTAGTCATTAAAAGACTCCCAGTTAAAAAAAAAAAGCCAAGGCCCAGACAGTTTTAGTGCAGAATTCTAGCAGACTTTCAAAGAGGAGTTAACTCCAATATTCTTCAAATCATTCCACAAAACCAAAACAAAGAACACCGCTCAATTCATTTTATGAGCTCATAGTTACCCTGATATCCAAACAACATAAAGATCCAGCAAAGAAAGAGAATTACAGGCTGGTTTCTGTTATAAACATACATGCAAAAATACTCAATAAAACACTTACAAACTGAATGCAAGAACACATCAAAAAGATCGTCCATCAAATCTCTCCCCTCAGAGCTCATGGAACCCTGAGGAAGAGCAGGTGGAAAGAGTCTAAGAACCAGAGGGCACCAAGAAAACAAGTCCCTCTAAATCAACTGAGCAAAACTCATATAAACTCAGAGATTGAAGCAGCAATGACAGGGCCTACATTGGTCTGCACCAGGTCCTCTCTGTATGTATATTATAACTTTCAGTTTAGTATTTTTATGGGGCTTGTGTGATAACAAGTGGGTCTTTGATTTTTTTTAAATTTTACTTATTTATTATATATATGGTATTCTGCCTGCATGTATGTCTGAACACCAGAGGAGGGCACCAGATCTCATTATAGATGGTTGTGAGCCACCATATGGTTGCTGGGAATTGAACTCAGGACCTTTGGAAGAGCATCCAGTGCTCTTAACCTTTGAGCCATCTCTCCAGGCCGGGTCTTTGATTTTTGTGCCTTCTCTTGGAGCTCTTTTCATTATGTTGGTTTATCTTGTTTTATTTTATTTGGTTATGTTTCGTTATTTTCTCTTAGAAGTCTGTTCTTTTCTAATAAAAGACAGAAAGGGAGTAGATCCGGATGGGAGGAGAGGTGTGGAGGAACTGGGAAGAGTAGATGGAAGAGAAACTGTAATCAGGATATATTGTATGAGAAAAGATTTTATTTTCAATAAAAGGGAAGAATAAAAAAGAAACAAGTTTAAAAAATGAAGATGCTATGATAAAATCAATTACTTTGTAAGGTAATGTAAAAGATTACTTAATTTTATTTTTTGTTTTGTTTGTTTTTGAGACAGAGTCTGTCTATATAGCCCTAGCTGTCCTGGAACTATGTAGACCAAACTGGCCTCAAACTCACAGAGGGACACCTGTCTCTGCCTCCTGAATGCTGCGATTAAAGGAATGCACCACCACACCTGGCTTTTAACATTAATTTTAAAACGGGAGAAAAAGCTGTGGATATATCTCATTGTTTTAATTCTTTCCTAAGAGTGTACAAGTCCCTGAGGACAATCACTATTACCACCCAAAATACCCAAAATAAGCAGATAAACCAAAACTGGGTATGGTACCATGCCTGAGATCCAAGTACTTGAGAGGCTGAAACAGGAGGACTTCCATGAGTTTGAGGCAAGCTTGGGCTATATAGAGTGCTTGGTAGTCTCCCTGACTCATGAAACAAGGAAGTGGAGTGGAAATCAAACACGCATAAACACTGTTGGATAAGTTTGTCTCTATGTCCTGAGTTGAGGTGACCCTTCCACTTTAGTCACTTGATTAGCTGGGACTACATGTATGCACCACAACACCCAGCTAATTCAGTGCTCTTTAAGTACAGCTCTATTATACTCTCTTGTGGCATATATTCTAAGGACAAAGATAACTGGCTTTCTTATTAGCATATTTAATGTAGATAATGGTCTGGATGAGGTGAGTGTGAAGCTATTTTGGGTATATGTTAAGATAGACTTTATCTGGTAGAACAAATGAGTAAATATATTGATGCTGTCAGAAACTAGAATTTTCATTGTGGAATGAGAGAAGGTGTGAAAGAACTGTAACACAAGATTATGCTTGAAAGTTTCAGCATGAACTTGTGATTTCTTTATATATGGGTATATATATATATATATATATATATATATATTCTAAGGTTTGCCTATTAAAGGGGTCTAGAAATAGTGATACTTCACTCACAGTGAGCACATCCTTCACACAGATCTTGGTTTCTAATTACCATTCAATAAACAAACAGACAAATACCATTCTCCAGTAAAAGGCTGATCCTTAGTCAAGGCCAAGAAAGTATACAAGGTGGGCCTAGAGTATATTGTGGTGCTAGAACAAAGCTGTAACAGGGAGGAGGCATGAGGGAATGTCTCAAACTTTCATGGCTCTTTTCCAAAAGGTTCAATTGGATGAAAGATGTTCAAACTATTCTAAATGTAATGTTTGGGGACTGTTCTTTTGTTATTTTGCCATGTCAATGTTAACATGGAAAAAATCACAAGTTCATATCCAAAACTCTCATTAAGTCATCTATCCCCTGTAAATATCCAACTCCATAAGCCTCACCATAAATGCTGAGCTCCTGAATCTGCCCTCCTGTTAGCTCACCAAACATCACATCCCAGCTCCCAGAACATTTCTCTTTTTGGGAGGCCACCTGAGCTGGGCCCTTCATTTCTGCTATTTCCTGCTGTGATTGTGATCACATCACATACCTAGGACCAAGGCCCCAGTCTGAGAGTCTAAGAGTCAGGAACTTTTATTGGCCAGGGAGCAGTGACTAGATTACTGTCACTTGGATGTACATGTGGTTCAGCAGGGCACAGTGCCTATGGCAAATGTTCCAATCACTGATGAGGGTCCTTAGATTTTAGAGTCTGTTGTTGTATGGAAAGCCATACCAAATTCAGGATCTGCATCCTGTGGTCACTCTATTTTCAATGAGTTCCCAGCTTCCTCTTATGGCCCCCCTCCTAATTTTCATCCCAGCATCATTTGTCACCTCTTGTCTTCCCTCCTCTTATCTGCCATCCTTCCCTAACAGAGCACCCCAAGACTTAACACTGAATGAAAAAAGAAATAAAATGAAAGGAAATGAACATGACAGCTCCTAGGTATGGTGGAGGAGAAAGTTTATTGTAGATATGTGAGAGAGCATAGTCACAGGCAGGTACATCTGGGAGAGTCCTGAGTGAACATACCCTTGAACCCTGTGAGGAGAGTGGTGAGGGAAAGGTAGGAGAACCAGGTGCAGTAGCTAGGAGGCTCAAATGTACAAAGAGCATGAATCACCAAAATGGTTGGATTAGGTACAGAAGAGCAGCCCAGCACCCTGGGCTGGAGAGTTCAGGGTAGAGGGCCAGGTATGTCAGCCAGGATGGCCTGGTAAAAGGTAGGGACTGAAGGATGCTGAAAGAACCTGGAGGCCAGGTCAGCTTTGATGTTAAATAGCCATCTCAGCCATTTGTCCCAGGTTTGAAACCTATTTGTCTCCATTCCTTTGTACACACATCTTGTGGAATAACAGGTTCTTGAGGACTCTTTGGCCTATTATACAGTGGTAATAACCTACATATTAAGAACTTCAGAGAGAGGCTCCACCTTCTTCATGTAGTGGCAGCACTGATGGTTTCTCCCTTCTGCAGACCTGTCCTTGACTTGCACTTGACACCACCTCTTGCCCAGGCCTTTGCCTCTGCTCCCTTCTAAACTCCTCTCTTGTTAGTGAAGCTGGTTTCCTGAGGCTGAGATCTCTCCTTTCTTTTTTAGCCCCTTTCTCTGGGCAGTTACCTCAATCATCCTTCCAGTGTCTAGGAGTCTGTCTACAGAACATTCCTGGGTATAGCAGTATGTTTACATGAGCTAGGCCTGGATTCAAGTTGTTCCTCATCCACTTCCTACATTTGGCAATCAGATGAGAATGAAATGAGAAAAGTGCTCTGCAAAGAAAAGGTTCATTAACAATACAATAACTGATCATCAAAAGGAGTCCACTTCTTGCTTTCCTGTTTCAGCGTTTCCATTACAGACCCCCAATTCATATTAACTTCACTCATCTCCATGTCCAATCTCATCTCTCCTGTCCCTGACCTCCCACATACAGTTACCCTAACATTCCAAGGCAATCAGATATCATAGGATCCCTTTCATGACTCCTTCCTGCACTTTTGAGTTTTGCTTCAGCCATAGCCCAATTCTTGAAGAACCCTCTATTTAGTTTCTTGCTCTATAGGTAGCTACACTGCAACACATACCAATTGTCCCATAAACTCATCTAAACACTGTCTCATCTTTGGCCAAAGTGAGGATCTCGCAGGCTTCTGGCACCCTGAATTGAGAGGCATTGGCTCAAGAGACTTATGAACATATCTATGGTTTGTTTCTTCTGCTTTTAGAAACTTTAAATGCCATTGGATACAAGTCCCAGAAAATACTCCTTGTCTGAGTCCTCGTCCCTTTCTCCTTTAATATCTCCAAGGTGTCATACTCTTTCTGGTTGAGATGTTTCCTGTAGTGGAGAGTTGCCATCTGCATCCACCAAGACATCCATTTACTTTTCTTTCTTGGTACAGCTCCTATGTGCCCAGGAAAGCAAATCAAGACTAGTTGAGTAGGTGTTAACCGATAATCAACAGCTCCTTTTTCCATATGCCCAGCCCCAGTGATTACACAGGATTCAGTTCTGACCAATAAGACAGCATTTATTTGCTGGGGCATCTGAGACAGAAGCTATGCTACAGAGAGAAAGTGCTCCTCACTGGCAGCGAATGAAGGGTTTTGATGAAGCTGCAGGCAGCCACCCTTTGATCCTTGGAAGTAGTGATGAGGATGAAGCAGATCCTGGAGAATTTAGAGGGAGGCAGGAAAAAAGCTGGATATTTGGTGAAATTGTTCATCCACTGCCAGTACTCCTGGGTTTTTCATTTTTGTAAGCCAGTAAGTTTCCTGTGTTGTTAAATCAATTATTTGAAACCAAAAGCAGCCTAGCTTATTAATTCAGTTCATCTTGGTAAAAAGTCTCACATGCACCTTCAGTGTTATTTAATTTTCCAAATACATTCCCTGACTCAAAGTGAACAAGGACACTGGTAAGCTTATTATCTGAGCTGCCAGTCCATATATGTGCTCACAAGCAGGTCCCTGATGTGGTACCCCAGGTCTCAGGGAAGAGCAAGGCCTATCAGCTGCTCATCCCCTCAGGCCTCACTTGAGTTTATCATTCCATTATGGGAACTCAATATTGTCCTACAAGGTCCAAGGCCCATGCAGGAGGCCCCTGGGCAAGAAAGGCCAGTGTAGCCCCGACAACATTCAGAGTGGTTTCCTTGGCAAGGGTGGAGAGCCAGTAGTGTCCTGCAGGTGGTTATCTTCCAGCCTCAACTGCTTCCCAGGGGTCCTCCTCAAAGGAGCTAGTACTTACATGACCTTTAGCACCCAGGCATGGTTCAGTTAAAAGAAGAAACACTGTATTCAGCTTACATTTCTATCTCCTCCTCAGCACCCTGAGTTTCGTCTTAAGCAATGAAGGTGTACAAACTGAAAGCCCCTGTACACAGGTGGCAGAGGAAGCATCCATCTCATGCTGTGGGAGAACTCTGGGTGAGGAGACCAAGGCAGAGTCCTAGTTGTGACACTGCCTTGCGGAGTCACCTGCTTTCCCTCATGGATGAGACTAACTTCCAGGAGGAGCCAAGCAGATAGGGTCCCCCCAAGAAGAGCTATGTCACGAAGGCCCAGGATATTCCATCTGTGGCCCATGCTTGGCTATCACTTCACTTTTGGCTTCAGTTTGCTTACTGAACACAAGGTAGAACTGCAGGTGGTGACAGCAGACTCCCACCTTAAGCCTGGAAAGGGGGAAGGAAACTTATTCAGGTCAGAGGAGTGGCCGTCACTGAACAGACTTAATGGTAGGGAACCAAAGTGGCACAGAAACTTGACTCAAGTCATACAACGGAGTTTGGGTATCTTTCTGATCTTCCAGTCCCTGACCTTGTCATTCATCAAGAGCACACAGGCTGCAGCAGCAGAGGGGCCCTGGATGGCTACCACTTGGCTTCCTATGGAGATTTGCCAAGGGCTATGCCAGACACACTAGAGGACAGGTGACAGGGACTAGCAGCTTCCTGAGGGAGTCATTTGAGTGTGTATGCTGAGTGGGCCAAATGGGAATGGTAAGGCCAATCCCTCAAAACAGCACACTCTTTCTCCTACAGAGGCACTTCTACAGCTGGCTAGCCTTGGACTCTGGCTGTCCCAAGCCATTGCTAGGTGTTTCTACAGTGCAGCCTCAACTGTCCTGTGGAAGGCAGAAGAGAATTCAGGCCAAGTATTTATGAGTAGTGCCTAGCACCTAGCAAGAGCTGGGTACATACCAGCTATTATTATCACTATGAGCCAAACTGCGACATGAGAACACATTTAATGCAACATGCAGCTGTGGCCTGACCTGGGATTCCCCCCCCCCCCCCCACACTCCCAGAAATGCTATTTGGAGAACCCTTTTTCCATAGACTCAGTTACTTCAGGGTGTAGAAAGCGGCTGGCCAAACGTTCGATGTCATCCAGTGTTAGGCGGCTCAGAGATCTGTCATAATCCTGAGAAAAGAAGACCAGGTGGGTTCAGGAAGTGCAAGCGGGAAGGGGTATGCTGTAATAGGTGGGGGCTGGGGCTAGAAGCATTAAGATTGGAGGTCCAGCATTATTCTTCTCACCCTCTGTAGTTGTTCCAGGACCCTGCTGGCATCTGCTACACTGAAGTGACGGGCCAGGACTTTGGAGATCAACTGCCAGAGGGGTGGGGGTGGGGAGTCGACCAGTCTGTGGGCAGACCCTTCTTCCAGTAGCACCTTCTCCAAAGGTTTAACGACTAGGTTGAGTTTAGAATTGGGCCCAATGTTGTAATCTGACAGTCGTTTATCATCTGCCAAAGAGAGATTGGTGGGGTTCCTTCCTCACTGCTGTGGGGGTGGCCAGAGAGCAATCCTGCCACGGACAGCTACAGTGAAACACTGCAGCATCTGGCTATGCGGTGGTCGCGGCTCAGCTACTTTTCCAAGATCCAGTGGCAGCCAGTGCCCTAATTCATTACACTGGCCTGTACATCCCGTCCCCCAACTTCCAACTTCCTCTGTGTGTGGGGGGGGTCCCTGGATGACTCCTTTCCCTGGTTACCTGTTAGGGCCTTGCCCTTGAACAGCAGACGTTGCTGGCGCACTGGGACGTTCAGCTTATCCGAGACCAGGTGCTTCAGCGTAGACACTAGCTCGTCCTCCGGCACCTGATCCGGCCGAGGTGGAGAGGCAAGGGCTTAGCCCGAATTCCCTGGGCGACGAAGCCCTAGTGTCCCCTCCTGAGGTTAGCTCTCCTGGCCTCCCCCACCCCGCCAAAGGCCCCAGCGGCAGCAGTGTGTGAGTGTAGCAGCCTGCAGGGTGACCTTACCTGTAGGCTGCACTCCCGGCCCTGGAGCGCCTTCACGGTCAGCTGCATGGTGCCCACAAGGACCAAAGCAAACCCCAACAGTCCGCTGCCGCGCGCCGCCGCCCCGGGCGCGCGCCGCCGGAACCGCCCGCCGCCGCCGGAAGCCGTGAAAGGGGCGCGCCCGCCGCGTGGCTCCCGCCCAGTCCCGCCTCCAGGCCTTAGCGCCTGCCTGTGTTTGGGGTGGCATCCATGGCCCTGGGCCCACAAGCCTCCAGCGGCTATAGTGCAGGGAAGTGGGGGGACTCCCCTCCCCCACTGGGATAGAAGCAAGGAATCTGTGGCACAAGGCTTGCTTCACCTGGGAGCTGTGGCTTGAAAGGACGGACCAGGATGTCAGCCTCATGCAAGGCCTGGCCTGCGTTAATTCCTACCCTGCTGGTGGATCACATCAGTGCAAATACGTGGTAGTGTCTCTCAGATACAGAAATGGTCCAGTCCTACCTGCCATAGTCCAATGACTTTCTACTTCTTTTCTAGTCTAGCTGCAAAAACATCCTGGCTGACACTCCAAAATAATGGACCCAGGCCTCTGTCTCTTCACTCATTATAGAACAGAGGCCTGCCCTGTAGGGTAGGACTGATAGAGAAAAGCCTTTGCAAATCTTGTCTACCATGTGCAAAACAGAGGGAGGAGAGAGTAGGCTCTGTGCAGGGGCAAGAAGCGTGTTTACCATCCTGGCCCATATCAGCCCAGACACATTCTTCCTATCCCCATCCATAGTCTCCAAGGGACAACGACTAGAAGGGACCCGAGCTTGCTTTTTGTCTTTTATTGAAATATATTTCTAACTCAGCATGGCCTCTTTGGCACTGAAAACTGGAAAAAAGTAAAAAAAAAAAAGCCTGGATTTGTCTGAGTGCATAGTGCATGAGAACTAAAGGCCTTTGGTACAGAACTGTGGGGACAGTGGATGGAGTATGGGGCTGGGGTTATAAAACTTGATCTAGGGTCCTCATGGAACAGGAAACAAGCTGCTGTAGATGAACTGGCCAATAACCAAAACCAGCATCTCGGAGGTACCACTCAGTGCCACAATGAAGGGGGCCTGAGAGGCATAGTCTGCTTGAAGGCGGCGCAGAGACAGCTGCAGCATAGCTAAGGCTAGCAGGCTGTTTTGTACCCCTACCTCAATGCTGACTGTCCGCCGCTGGGTCACTGGCAGCTTCAGGCACGTGGCCAGGCTGTAGCCCACCAAGAGGCCAACCAGGGGCACTGTGAAGCCCACCAGTACAATGGGTAACCTGACTCCCACTAAGATGAAGACCCCCATGTGGTAGGCCAGGAATAGGCCACCCAGGAGAAGTACAAAACTGAAGGGCTTGATGACCTGTAGCAGCAGTTCTGAGAACTTGGGAAGCTTAGACTTGATCACCACACCTGCTGCTATGGGGATGGCGATGAACAGCAGGGTCCCCAGTATCTTGGAGATGGGCACGTGGAGAGTTTCATGGATGCTGAGAAGGCGGCCGTAGATGGCTGATGAAAGCGGCAAGAAACCTGTAGCAGCTACTGTTGAGATGAAAGTCATGGAGATGGCTAGGGTGACATCTCCTCCAAGGAGGAGACTGAAGAGGTAGCTCCCCCCACCGCCAGGTGATGAGCAGGTAATGATGAGGCCCAGAGCTAAGGCCTTGGGTAGCATGAAGACTTTGGCCATCAGGAAAGCATACAAGGGCATGACCAGAAACTGGCCCAAGAGGCCCAACAGCATGGGTTGGGGGCTCTGTAGGAGCTCCTTCAAAACTTCAAGTTCCACTTTGCATCCAAATGAACACTTGTTGACAAAGATAAGAGGCAGCAGAAGGTAGAGGATTGGGTTCTCTGAGAAGTGGCCCAAGTTGGGGTTGAGGGTAGAAGGGATGTCTTCAGCAGGTGACACCCTGATGCAGAAATCTCTCCGTTCTTCAATCAGCAAAGGTGGGGTCTCATGGAGGTCCATGAGCTGGAGGTGGAGTGGGGCCAGCCCAGCCAGACCTGAGTGGATGTTCACCACGAAGCCACCCCCACTGCCCCAGGTTATGGCACTTACATTCTTGATGGTCAGCACCTCTGTGTCCAGGGATATAACCCTCAGTGTAGGGCTGGGACCTGTTCCATTGGTCTGTCCCGAGAACTGACTAGAGATCACAATGATACCCTCACTCTTTTCAGGGAACTCAAACTCTGTCACTGAGTCATCCCCAATGCTCAAATAGTGACCACCTGTCAGTGGCACAGTGTGGCCCAGAGCAGTGCTGAGGTTGGCACTGGCCATCACTTGGGCCCCCCATGGCAGGCTTATGAGAAGCAAGGCAGTTCTGAACATACCTAGGAAACCTGTACAACCACCCTGTCCTCTCAGGCCAGGCAACTGCTTGGAGCTACCTTTGCTTCTCCTGACCACCATGGCACTTTTCAAAGGATAGTGTTCATAGACTCCTTGTGTCTTAGGGGAACACCCTTGCTTGTGCTGTTGGAATGTCCTGAGAAGGGTCCATGGGAAGGTCCTAGTCCTGTATTGTCTTTCTTGATAGCAGGGCTTTCCCTGAAAAGAGAAGGGGCAAAGAAAATGGCTAATGAAGAGGAGAAACTGCAAGCTCAGGAGCATGGGGCTGTCAGAGAACATTTTACTTCTAGTTTGGGGATAGTGCTGATATTTGAATGTCATTCAGCAATCTCTTCTTCCAGGACAGCTGCCTCAAGCTTCTCAGCCCTCAAGAGAGTCACCTACATATAGAAAGCCCCACTCAAGCCTGCCAATTCTCTGGACTTGACTACTCTGGTGACCTTACTAAGTACAAGTACTAATGGTTGTAGGAGAGCAATCTCTAACCCTGTCCATTTCACACTGGTTTCAAGATGCCTTGACAGCACTGTAAGAATGAACTAAGTTGTTTCCTGGAGGGGCTAGGTATCTTGGCTCACTGATGTCATCCTAGCACTTGGGAGGTAGAAGCAAGAAAAATAGGAATCTAAGATCATCCCTCAGTTACATAGTTACTTCCAGGGCAGCTGGAGGATTCGATACTCTGTTTCCAAACAAAGCTAATCAAATAAAAATGGCTTCCTGGGGGCGAAACAAGGATACTAGTCAGATGAGAACAAAGGGTGCTGATAGGAGCTGGTAATGATGGTGTACACTTTAAATCTCAGCACTCAGGAGACAGAGGCAGGCAGATCTCTGGACTACAATTGGGTCCCAGGACTACACAGAAAAAAATGAAGGAAAAAAGGATGCTGATGGGAACATTGTCTTGGGTCAGATCCAGGTCTTTAAAGAACAGAATAGAGAAGTCTGAATGCCATTTGCCAGCAACAAAGTGGTGATAAAGTGACATGGGCAGTATGTGACTTACTGAACCAAAGTCTGCAGGGGATGATGCCTGCTACTGACATGGAATTGGGTAAACCATTGCTGTGGCCTCATGTCCTGTCCCACCTGCCCTACACTAATGATATGGGAGTCCTTGTGGGAAGCACATCCCTATTTCTCAAGGAAGTTATAGTGGGAGTAGGTTAGATATCCACTGGGCAACCTTTTCTTGTCAGAGCTCTCCAGTCTCATAATTTGAGCTCTTAAAGTTGCTACTACATCCAAAAACCTCTGCTTAAGAGTCTTCTGGCATACCTTCCCCTTCCAGAGTCTTTTGTTTGAGACAGGTTCTCTGTTATGTAGCCCTGGATGGCCTGCAACTCACTATGTAGACTAGGCTGGCCTTAAACTGTCTCTTAGTGCTGGAATTAAAAGGTATATGCTATCACATTCATCCCTACCAGAGACTTTTTGTTGTTGAGATGGGGCCTCACTGTATAGCCTTAGCTGGCCTGGAATTCACCATTTAGACTGGGCTGGAATTCGGAGATTTACCTGCTTCTGCCTCCCAAATGTTGGGATAAAAGTGTGAGCCACCTACCAGAATTTTAAACTTATAGTGGAACCTGAGTATTTCTAAGGGTGGAGTAACCTGGGGTGAAAGAAGGGGTCTGCCTCCTTCCATTTGTCAACTGAGTAGTATCATCATCTGCTAGAACTGGAGCAACTAGCTGGCAGTGGACACAGCAGGTTTTATATTATGGCTTGCCAGGTACCTTTAAGCTATCTGGACCCTGACCAGTCTTTGGCCCTAGACCTAACTCAATCTATATGGCCTTTGCTGACTTAGAGTTTGGGTGCTTACCCTGGGGACCCTGGTTCAGCCTTGTGTCTCACCGATGAAGAGGGAAGCAGGGAAACCGAAATTGGGTAACAAGTCAAGTAGAGAGGGAAAGATGTAGGCATCAGAGTGGTGTGAACCAGTTAAGGGAGAGGTTAAGGGCCATCCACCCATACCCCATCCTTCCAGTAGGACTGGTGGATCTGAGTCACTCACTCCTGCAAGAGGGATTTGGCCCCTATCCTACACCTTTTGCTGAAGAAGAGTTGAAGAGTTAAGGTAAAATTTTTTTCCCACAGCATCGAAGTGTAAGGGGTTATGATATCTGGCAGTGATGACCAGGTCTCCTCCGCACCTGGAAGTCAGAAGGTTGTTAAGTGGTTGGAGAAGTCAGGATGGGCTCATAACCCCGCGGTCAGTCTTGGGTTCAGGAGAGCCTTCACGTCACTCCCGCACCCGCAAGGCCTCACTCTGGGCCTGGACTGAGCGGGTAATCGCAGACCGCGGACGGAGCCATAAGTCACCTCCCGTCCTCCCCTTCCCAGTTAAAGTCTCTCACCTGCTTCTGCAGCCACAGAGCTCCGCACCAGCGGCCGCGGGGCCGGCTGCTGCAGGAAAGCGCGGCCCGCCCGGGCATCGTCCCGCCCCCACAGGCTCCGCCCCATCAAGGCCCCACCCGCGTGCTAGGACTCCGCCCTCTCGCAGAGGCCCTTATCTCTGGAAGGCATGTGTCAGGTTCCCACAGGATGTGACGTTTCTGGGAGCGACGAGCTGGCCCTACCACGTGAGACCTGACTTCCTGAGTCCGCTCTTTTGGCGTGCCTAGAAATAAATACTTTGTTGTGTGGTTACCTCCTGGGGGGAAAAAGTAGGTTGTGGGAAGGTGTAGATAGGATGCCACAAGACAGTAAACAAGTATTGAATTATAGGTGATGTGGGGCTTAAAGAGATGGCTCGGTGGTTAACAGATCTCACAACTTTTGCAGAGAACTTTTGTTCGATTTCCCATCACCCACTTAGCAGTTCACGACCGCCTATAACTACAGTTCCAGGGGATTTGATAGCATTCTTTTGGCCTCTGCCCATACTGGATGCATGTGGTGCACATACTAACGTGCAGGCAAGCACTCATACACATAAAATAAAAATAAATCTTGAAAAAGAAAGGTGATTTGTATGCAAGTGGTTCTGTTACTGCCACACATGCTTCTGTCTTTCAAGCGTAAAAAGTAAACTTATTTATTTTAATATTGTTTGTTTTTTTTCTTTTTTAAAAAAATGAGACTTTGCCATTTGTGGTGGTGCACACAGGCGGATCTCTGTGACTTCGAGACCAGCCGGGTCTACAGAGTGATTTCCAGGATTACACAAAAAAACCCTGTTGGCCAAACTACTACATACTAATAATAACAACAATAATAAATAATTTGTTAAATATATATTTATCTGGCAGATAGAGAGACAATAATAAATAATTCGTTAAATATATATCTGGCAGAT